TGGACCCAGGAATGAGAAAAATCAGTTTCCAGGACACAGGCCGCATTTACTTAACAAAGTCTCAGTTCTGTTTCACTTTTTCCCCTTTGCCCCGTAAGCCGTGCACAAAGCTCCCCGAGGAATAACGCAGAACCCACCGCCCTTTCCTGCTTTTCCCAAGAGGATAAATGGAAAGACTCGGGGCTGTCAGCAGCGGGTTACTTCTCTCCGTGGTTAAAGGCTGCCCCGCGGTACGGCGGCACTACCAGCGCGTCGCGGAGCAGCTCCCAGCAGCGAAGCCACACGAAAAAGCATTCAGCCCTAATGCAATTTTGAATATTTGCGTCCTCCACGCCGGTAAGTACTTTTTAGAAACGAAGGTCAAGACGAGCTTGCACCAAGCTGTGCAATCCAGACGCAACTTCCAACTGCTTCACAAGGCTGTCTGATGGAGCACCAGCTCAAAGCTTGGAGGAGACACACAGATGCTCCTTTATTCTCTTTATAAGATCTTTTAGCTTAAGTACAATCTTTAGAAGCACTACACAGCAAACCCTACCTGTTCACAAGCCAACCAAGTTGCTCGTTAGCTGGTAATTCTTCGGCATCATTCTTTTCCTAGACTCCTTCCATCACCAGCTCTTCGGGACATCGGTTATATTAATTGGTTGGCACATTCTCCTGACTGTAAAGGGTAATTTACAGCCTTGCTGCTGCATGAATAACGACATGGAAGAACAGCACAAGCAAAATAAAGCAAGCCCTAGCCACAGCAGGGCTACCGTGAGGCAATCGTGCTAAGTGGAACGCTCAGTTTTGTGAATATAAGATTAATTTGAGTCCATAAAAAAAGATCTTCATTTGCTGTGGTCTGGGAGCTCTGGGTTAACTCAGACCTACCGGCAAGATTAAAGGTCCTCTCAAGCAGTGAAATAAAATCATTGGATTTGCTCCTGCTTTGGTCCTTACCTTCACATCTGAGAACACGGCACCATCAGCACTTGCAAAGGCAATTTCCTTTTTTTTTTTTTTACAATAGTGCTCCAGAATCAACTCCTAATTCTGAGAGTCTTACGACCACTTTCATTCTCTCCAGAAAAGATTAATAAAAGGGCTTTGGCACAGCATCCCTGGCATTTTTGTAGCTTCCTAAGTCCTTGAATACACGACTGCACGGCGAGTACACAGTGGCAGTTCTGCACCAGTCTTGTTGACGATAACCTCTTCACAGCCAGACAGAAATTGCATGGTTTTGTCAGCTGGGTTCGATATCATCAGTCACAAACGCTGCAAAACCGAGTCAGCTGCGTAGGGATTATGGTGCTTAAAGTGAAACCTTCAGCATCGTAGCAGATAAGATAAGCAAACTCCCTTGGAATCACAGAAATCTTGGTGGGATCTCTGAAGGGCTCCAGCTCAACCCTCTACTCAAAGCACGAGCGTCACCATCCCCAAATCAGGGCGGCCACAGCTCCATCTACCCAGATCTGAAATACCTCCAACAGCAGAGACTCCACAGCCTCTCGAGATGAGCCCAGTGCCCTCAAGCTCTTGTTTTAAGTCGTGTGCCTGAGGTCATCCCAAGATGCTCTACCACTGGACCACCTCTTCGCATCCTCCTTGAACTGGGATTCCCCAAACCGGTCACTGTTTACCAGTATGGCCCCACTAGTGCCACAAAGAGTGTTCATACCATTTCTGAATCTGCTGGACATATTCCTCTCAGTATAGCCCAATCCAGTTTGCTCTATTTGTAAGGAGAGGACACTTTGGGTACTTCCACCTTAGGGTCCAACGCAGCTTTTTAGGAAAGCCACTACTGAACCAGTTGCTTCCCAGAGCACTGGGTCAGGAGCACACTATCGAAGGACGCCGGGACCGGGGTGTTTATAGGTGTCCTAAGCTTCGCTTGAGGGCACTGAGTTTATCAGGATCTCAAGTCCTTTGCAAACTACAAATCCAAACTCTCCAAAAAGAGATGAACACGCGGATGTGCAGCCCTCTGCAATTCCACCGTTCAGAGGAAAGAAATGTCTTTCTATCAAAGAGAATATTCAAAACTTAAGCACAAAGTTGATAACAACTTGCCAAGTCTGAAAACTAGGACCAGGACGAGCCGCAGGCTCAGCTGCTCCCTACATTGCAACACACAGCAAAATACTTTTATTTTTTTTTCAATATACCTTCCCAAAGCAAGCGTCCTGACTACTACTGGGCAAACATCAGACATGACTTAAATACTAAATATTTAATTACATCTCAGCGATAACGGTCCTGATCATCCTCTCCAATCTGCATTTTTCTTTTCCAGGCATCCCTCAGCTGTCTCCCTCCTGTTTCTGATAAAGAAGATGAGGCAGGGAAGTGCTCCAAGACAGTCAGCATCACCGTTCTGCAAGGTGGTCCCTCCTGAACGAAGCATGTGATACCAAAGCACCGCGATTTTATTTTAAGCGCGTGAAGAAAGCATGCTAAAAGGGCAAAACATCTTTTATGAGCTGGCAGAGACCTCTTCTTGTCTTGTGATTTTCTACTTACCCTTTACAAAGCATGACATTAAGAAAACAATCCAACTGCCTAGAAAATATTTACATGACAACAAGTCCCGCTGTTCCACTTCTGAAAGGTTTATAGTTCAATTTTCCACGAGTGGAATTTGTCTTTAGTTTGATCCCTAACTCCGAAATTGAATAAATGTCATGAATTCTGTCAGATTAACAGAATGTTAACATAGCAATGTTAATATAACACAGTTTACCAAATTCCCCTGCTCACTTCCCTGTATATATGTACATATCCATAGCTATCTATGTACCCAGAGAGAGATACAAACCTGTGATACCCCATTACTCTAGCCCCAGTATACGAGCCAGAGCAAATATTAGGGTTGAAAATGTATAATTGCAAAGCATAAGGGTAAAAGTTTAAGCCCAAACAATTTCAACGGGGCCAGAACGTCACAATCTATTTTAAAAAAATATCAACTTACTCGTTCCAGTTGCACAGATCTCCTCAGTGTGTTGACCATTTCATCTCAATTTGTAGACCATTTTAAAGCCTCTTAAATAATTTCTCTGCTTCTTTAAAGCACCTCATCCTTCAAATATTCATGGTGGACACTCAACTTTCCTTGAACGTCAAGAATGTCTCGCTCCAAAGCCAACGCTGTTAGACCCACAATTTGTGGAGTAATATTCCCCTGTTTGGCTATCATTTAGACTGTACATATTTAGGAAAGCTGGTGTATTAATATCATGGACGGGGGGGTAAAATTAAAGCATTGCCACATCGGAAAGGAAAAAAAAAAAAATACAGCTGCCATATTGAAAGTAAATACTGTAGTCCATTAAGACGGAAAAGGACCAAACTTTGGGTTTTCTAAACATCGATTATTCTGGAATAATTAATTAGCAGAGCTCTAACAATACATAAAATTGCTAGCCTCTGACTCTTCTGATAATTTATGCAAGATTAAAGTATCGCTGTGGTTGTCTTTTCCATTGCCTAATTCAGCATTTTCTTTTTCCTTATGAAAGCAAGACTCCAGATTTAACTGCTCTAATGCCCTTTTACAGTGTTTGGTGTAGTAAAATCTAACAGCCACTACAGCACGCTAGCAGGGAAATGATGGATCACAAAAGCTCACAGAAGGGGAGCACTGTAAAATGCCCCGGTTAACGTTGAGATAGTAATCTTATTTTAAAAACGCATATACACATATATAGAGTGGTATCTGGTGAACTTGTTTTACCCTATCAAAATAGCTTTAGATTTCTCTCGTGATAACGGATACTTCCACAATGAGCACCTTGCCTTCCTAATAACCAAGCAAACAACTGCCTTGCAAAGAAACCATTTCAAAGTCATCATCGCTAGATTGAGCTCACCAATCAACCCAATCACCACGACCCAGCCAAGAAAAATACACCGTTTGGGCGAGAGGTTGGTCTCTTCTTCAAACAGCTTCTTCAAAAGAAAAGAGTTGATCATCATCGTTTTGTTTGTTTGTTTCAAAAAGCAGCATTTGAAGCTGTTCTAGCTGGGCTCTTTGACTCAAGTGTGTCCTCGTCACCCCAAAAACCTCAGTTGGGGCTACCAGGAGATGGATCAGAGCATCCTGTGGCACACGGAGCTCTACAGCCCCTCCAGTGAAGACAGGCTGGACCTCCTCAGCGTGCTTTCTGAGCTGGACCTTCCCTTGCTTCTCCACAAAATGTGGGTGCTTCCCTCCTCCAACCAGACGCCATTCGTTACACAGCAGTGTTGCACATTTCAATAACCTCAGCAGTTAACTAATTTTTTTTTTTTTTTTCCTCCAAGAGAGCTCTTTGCTTTTTACCCAGGCTACAAACGGGGTGCTGACACACACACACACACCAACTTGTTCTTTTTACTGAAGAGACCTCACAAGTTTGGGGGAGGTTCTTCAAGGAAAAAAAAAAAAAAAAATGAAGTTGCATGGCAGGTCCCACCCACGGACACACGCTTGCCCGGGCACCCTGTGGTCCACCCAAGGACAAGATGTCCCAGGACATTTGCCAGTGCAGTGAGCAATAGCACGTGCTTCACCATCGCGACCGACGCGGGAGCTAATAGCCCACGCCAAGGCTCCAAATATGCTCATGCCCTTTTCCACTGGGGAGCCCCTGAGGGCAGGTTTAAGGACTAATAACACGTAGGATCAGTTTTGAGCACAGATCCGGACCCACGGTTCACCAGCCCTGTCTATACACCCACACAACACCCTTCCTTGACACTATTCAAAACAACCCGAAGCGCAATCAGAAATAGAAGTCTGCTGAAAACCACACACATGGCAATTATACAGAGGCATAAGGGAGGAAGAAACGTTCCTCGAACTCGAATTTCCCGAGGGCAATAGCAAAATTCCCGTTGACAACTGAGGCAAATGTGTTTCCCCATCCCTTAGACGAAAGCAGAAACTCAAAACCGCAAAAGCTGCTGCAACAGCAGAGTTTTGTAGGACTCGTGAGATGTTGTCGAGTCCACAAAGCACTTACCCCAGGTGCACTTAGGCATCTGCTACATATTCTGAGGGGTATTACTCATTTATATCGCTTTGCAGAGCACACAAAGTGAACAGGCAAGTCCTCGAATGAACGGCTTCTAACACAGCAGCAACGGAAAGGAATCGCTGTACGAAGCGTGTGAGTTGGTACTAGGAAAAAAAAAAAAAAAAAAAAAAAAAAATCAAGCGGGATGCGTTTGCAAAAGAAAATTTAAAAAAAAAATAAATAAATAAAGACTTGTAAATAGGGATTTGGAGAAGAATGGGAAGCAAAAAGCAGAACAGAGAAACCTACCCAGGTTTTACAGGGAGCCGAGCATCTGCTGGGGTGGGATTTGGGGAGTCCTGACAGCGCTGCGGAAGGTGCTCGGCTCATCCGCGCAGGCAGCGGTTCACAGCACGGGAAGCATCAGTAATTTCAACTGTGACTGTGCTGGGGATACCTTCAGTCAGTTTGTGTACTAGGTGGAAGAAAATAGCAAAAGAAGGAAATAAAAAGGGGAAGAGAGACTCACTGTCAAGCTTCAGGTTACAGAGGCATTCATATTTAAGTGCCTTAAATGCCCACTTTTATTTTTATTTTTACTTTAAGAGCCTAAGAAAAGACAACCAAGGGGATAAGAGACATCAGCACTGAAATCCAGCACAATTCAGAGCAGCAGGGAGAGCCAGACAGGTTGAAAATTCTTTCAAAAGCTTCGCTACGCAGCCTGAGCATCCACATGAAGACGAACCCGTTCGCGCGAGCGCTCGCTAGGGACAAGCGAGGGACTAACCCAGCTCAAAATTACAAGCAAGGTTTGCGGCGTCGAACCGCTCCAAACACCAAAAAATATCCTGAACAGCACAGAAATCACACGTTACACATTCGTAAAGTCAGCACAACAGCGTCCAGACACTATTCTTTAGTAGCACAAGCTATAAACATAGACTCTTTTTATCAACTCTCTGTCCTTCCAGCAATAAACACTAGCTTCGCCGTAAAAATAACAGCAAGGAGAGACACCCAGCACTCAACAAGAAAACACCGATGACCAAAATCACCCTTTGCCACCCTGATCTGAGGATGTGCTATTTGGAGTAACAGGTTACAGGCACTCGCCATGAAGTGGCACGACGCGAGCCCCCGGAGGACAAGCGAGAAGTGCATACCGCTGTGCTAAGACCTACTGCTCTCTTTTCTATTTTTTTTTTTTTCCTTTCTCCCTTTTCTATTTTTGTTCCGCACTGTGCCATCCCTGAAAGGTTTGAATTCTTAGAAAAGCCCCCCGTGGACTTGAAAATATCAAGGGTCATAGCCAATGAAAGGATGTCATGCATCCCCCCCACCAAAGCCAAATATTTTTCCTATTAGTATATAAATAGACTATTCCCCAAAGAGCTGCTTGCTACTAACAGAATTTCACAATCAGATGGTAGCTGGCACTGCACACGGGTACGGGGAAAGTCTCTGAAATAGGGGAGGCAGGTATTGGGAGGGGATTTTCAACATTAACTTGAGCACGCAGTTTGAATTCGGCGGGAAAAGGGAGAAAGAGCGGACACGGTAGCGAAGAATAATTGAAAGCAGCTCTACATCAAGAGAAGAGTGGTTTTATAAAGCCATCGCCTGCTGTTTCCCCAGGATCCTCATCGCTTGGTCCACACCTTTACCCTGGGCAGGAGTCCACCCACAGGTCTCACACCCGCGGGAGTTGTACCTCGCACTCATCTTTATCTAGAAGCAGGCTATCACCTTCAGCTCACAGCTCTGATTTCGGTCTGGGTGTTTCCCCCCCGCTACCACGGTCACTGGTTTCCCTGACTCCAAACCCAAACGCTGGAGCGCTCGAGCTGAACGCTGGGGAGAAGGTTGTCTACATGGTGACGCCTCCTCGTTTAGCAAGGCTGGCTTCCCTCGCTCGAAGCGGCTTGTTATTTTTAAAAAAGAGGGCTCTGAAAACAGAATCCCCGCTTGCTGGCTGCCTGCAGCTCCTCTTGCAGCTTGGGACGAGTCACCTGTAAATGCCAAGTAAAGCCAGAAACTCAAAACCGTTACTTACGAACACTGACGTAACCGGTGCCGGCAAAAAGCCAAGTATGTGAACTTTTCTCAATTACCGCGAAGGAGCGAGCAGCCACTTCGCCAGCCACACTCCCCCCCTGGCTCCCAAGGACAAGCCAGCAAAAACGAGAAGAGAGACCTGACAACGTAATGATTTATGGGCAAGGTCAAACCTACGTTAGGACGGCGTAATGCCGTTAGCCTTGCTGGCCCCGAGCGGTGAACCTGCGAGGGGTTGGGATAAGCTAGGAAGGACCTGCTCAGAAAGATGAGACTAATGATGGGGCAGAGGAGAAAAGATGTGATGAACTCCAAAGGGTCCCGAGCTGTGCCGTGCGTGACACGAGGGCTTCCTTCAAGGGCAGGGATTGCCACCTCTGCCTCCTTCTACTAAGACGTAACAGAGGCATCGCGCCACCTTAATTCATCGGTAACGTGATCTGAGATGTCACCTCAAACAGCAGCAACACCTTGTGCAATTCACTGAAAAGAACGAAACAAACAAAAAAAAAAAACAAAAAACAAAAAAAAAAAACAAAGAAATACAGCTTCGCAAAAATAAACAAACAAATAAACTACAGTGCCCCAACAGGAATCTCCCCATATTTACTGATTGGCCTTCAGAAGAAAAAAAAATTAAAAAAAAAAAAATAGAGGGTATAAAATCCATCGCTGAGATTTTCAAAGCTGCCAGAGGGATACAAACACCCAGTGTCAATAAAATTAACAGCAGCTGAGCATTCGGATGCCAGCCATAACTTACTCCTCACCATTTACGCCCCGTTTACTTTCTGCACTCGCCTGGGCACGAGTAATGCAAACCAGCTCCTTCCACTTCTGCCGCCAGCCTTTTTCCGAGCGAGAGCCCCTTGCCCATCCCAACACCCTCGTGCCGCACGGCTCGCCTTACTGAGCAAGCAGAAAGAGAAATTAGGGCTTAGGGAATTTTTTTTGGAAGGTGACCGTCACTCAGACTGCAATGAAAGTTGTAGAAAGTCTTCTGCAGGTGGCGGGGTGAAGCGGGTCTTATGAATCCTGACGGAATTTCTCTCTGGAAAGAAGCAAATACAAACAGGATTTCCTTCTATTCAGCACATTCGCAGAAGCCAGCTTCGATGCTGGTGGTGGCAACAGAGGACAAGCAGGAAGGCAGTAACACGACCCACTGGCTAATCTCAATCTGGAGCATGAGAAAGGCAAAGATAAGCAGGAAAGGAATATTTTAAAGGGGGAAACCACAAAAAAAAAAAAAAAAAAAAAAAACTAGTCTCCTAGCTGTTCATGTAGCGGAGGCGACAACGGAAAAGGCTCAAAATTTACTCTTGCTCTAGCCACGGATTTGCACGGCCAAAAACAGGTTGCTGCTCCTCATCTATTTGGCTTCCTCCACCAAGGCACGTGTACAGCAGAGACGGCAACGCGGCCCCTCCCGTGCCACCGCGCCAAGCCACCACTGCGTTAGTTAACGCCTGCAACGAGCTCTGAACAGGCAAAGTGCTGAGTGACCGTATTGTTCCCACCCCGGCAATAAGACCGCTGGGCTCCCCGAAAGAACAAAAGAAATTAAAGGCTGAACCTCCACGGCACAGCCGGCGAGACCCTCCCTCGCGGCGCAGCTCCTCGCGTGGCAATCGCGCTGACCTGCAGCGGCAGAAGCGTCTCTCCCAGGCGTAATCCAAAAGCTACTACTACAAAAAAAAAAAAAAAAAACCACTAGTTTCATACGCAGACCAGGAGAGATCGCTACAAGCAGGAGGAGGCAGTGAGGTTTTACAACTCGGGAGGTTCAGTTGGGCCACAGCGCAGTAAGTTCCGCTGAAGCAGACGACGACCTGCCCGGCTTCCGCGCAGCACGCTTACGTGAGGATCTCACACCGAACCATCAACCCCGGCGCAACCGCCAAATTATTTAAGAAAGAAATATACACAGCCATACGAGAAGGAAGGGTCCCTAGGGAAATCTGCCTCTCGCTTTCTCCATCTTCTCCTTTCAGCCAGCTGTGACTGTGCCTAAGCAAGCCCCGGCACACGGCTGAGAAGTCCTGCCTGGAAGGGGACGTTACAGAGGGGAAAAAAAGACACCGAGGAGCCTCTCGCCGGCATCTTTGTAATATCCTGTAATCCCCCCGGGCGAGGCGGGCAGCCCACACTGCTGCTGAACAATGCAGTTTTGAATTCAATTAAAGTGATTATCTGTTGTGCCAAATAAATTGTGTACAGCATATATCCTGCAGCATTTTACACCTTCAGGCTCATTATTTTCTAACTGTTTCCTCCTGTTTATGCGCTTTCAAATTAAATTGCTGATAATACGCGCCAAAATAAAAAATGAGCGCACCTTGTCCGAAGAAAATTGATTCTCCTTTTTCCTGAACCGGGCGATTGCCAGGTTTTATATACTCTGTTCCTGGCGATCATTAGTAATTCAATTTTCTTTTTATTAGCCCCCTTATCTGCTGAGCAATATAGTGGCAGAGCTGACCTCTTTCGCACGGGTAAATGTTTAAAATCTTTTCCCTGATTAATTTTGCCAGTTAAGAAAAAGAGGAGAAATGGCCCGGCTCTTAGCCATCACAATGAATAAAGCTTAATGTTGATTGTGATGGAATTTCTAATGCCAAGGAAATTGATTGAACGCAGCAATTACACTGCAATAGTAACTCAAGGGAAATGGGATAGTTTTCTCCTGGCCATAGCCTTTTGGTTATTTAAAACAATCCAATTTGCAAGGATAATTATATATTAGTGTTTTATCTGCCACTTGAAATGAACATGGGAGTTTTGATACTGGCCCAGCATTAGCAGGTTATTGCTGCAAATTACTTGATATCTGCTTTCTTTCACATAAAGACGAAATTAGGCCATCAATAACCAGAAAAAGGTGGACCGGGGAGATGCGAGGGGCACGAGTGCCCTCTGCAGGGCTGCGGGGAAGGAAGGGCAGCACGAGAGACTCCCCGAAATCCCCAATTCTCCTACTTGTCGGAGCGTACCGCACAGCCGTCGCTCTCGTGCCGGACACGCGGCGAACAGGCATGACCCGGCTTCCCCCGTCCATAAAGCTGCCACGTCTTTAACATCAAAAGAAATTCTTTTTAAAACAAAACACAAAAAAAAAAAAAAAAAAGCCTTAATTTTAAGGACTTGCAGTTTTTCCTAGAGAAAAAAAAAAAGCCAGAGGGATAAGAAACGACAGAGCTGTCGCCCTGAATGCCAGAGCATTTTACCAGCACAGCGGTGTCGCACAAGAGCTGCGGCAGCCAAGGAGGGCAACAGCATTGATTTTTCTGTGAGGGTGAGGAAAGGTTCACGAGTGCAAGCGCTCACCTGTCTCTCGACTCTTGTTTTTGATGAAAAAGGGTCTCATCCTGCAAGATGGCAAACAGGCGACCAGCTAAATCTGGGAATAAAAGGCTG